TTTGACCTTAAAAAACTTCATGTTAAGACTTGCCCAGTCTTTGATTTGGAAAGGTTCAAACATGACGTTAGGGGTGAATGGGTGAACAGATCCCTAAGAAGCAATGAGGAACTTTGTGACACATATGTTGCATGTATATCAACTCAGAAGTGAATGATCGTAATGGGTATACTATTTAATCTCTGTAAGGCTTGGGAAACCTTTGATTGAGACAAGCTGTTTCCTGTATAGTTTTGTAATCAGAGATTAGTGGGATTACAATTCTAGAAGGACCAAACAAAATTTGAAATTGCAAATTTGATACGGTGTGATTCCAACCCCCCCCCCCCCCCCCCCCCCATGTAGAAACAAACTGTTTCCTGTATAGTTTTGAATCAAGAAAATTAGCGTATCAGAAATAATTCTAAAAGGACCAAACTATTTGAAATTGCAAATTCAATACGTTTTGAATGTGTATTTCTAATGCAAAAGTGAATCTAAACACATAGTAAAGTAGTGAGGAATGATTCAGTCAGTTGGTGGTTAGGAATTATCTGACAGACATGATCAGAAATAGAGGCGGACCTTTCGCGTTTGGTTTGGTTTGTTGTGATTTACGTCCCGTTAACAGCTTTTGTCATTTAAGGACGAGCCAGGTTTTGGTGGTGGAGGAAAGCCGGAGTTCTCGGAGAAAAACAACAGACATACGGCCAAGATCTGTCGACTTCCCCACGTAGTGCTCGAACCCGCGACCCAGTGGTGGAGGGCTAGTGGTAGCAGAATGTCAGATGCCTTAACCACCCATTCATTCCAATATGTCAAGTATTTATAACAGACAGCAGCAGCAATTTACAGATTATACATCAATGATGACAGGTCAGAAACTAGGCTAGCAATTTACAGATTATACATCAATGATGACAGGTCATAAACTAGGCTAACAATTTACAGATTATACATCAATGATGACAGGTACTTAAGGTTATATATGGACAGTTATGAATATTCACATTATTTTGCAGAAACAATTAAATTAAAGTTCTTTTTTTTTCAACTACAAAAAATCCACTTTTTTTTTTGGTAGGAAGATGTTAAATAAGATCCAATTTCCATATTTGATCTAATAATTGTTCCGTCTGTTATAAGCGCCCCTCTATCCTTTTTTGTCATCTTAGTGTCGCATTCCTTCACCATAATTTATCAACTTAGCTTTTTATTTCTTTGAGAATTTAGGGAAGTTCAGCTACCATTTATTTTTCCCCAAATCATTAAGTGTCCAGGGCATTTATTAAGTCAAATAGGTTCAAGTCTTATGTATGAAACAGGCTCAAAGTTTGTTGTATATTGATTGTTCCAGTCTACCAAACTGCACAAAAAGATAGTGGCTTCGTGGGAAGTATCTGTGAGAGACTGGCATCTTTTTAAAGATACTGAAAGATGTTTTACATTCAGTGTTTTAAAGCCCACAGGATAAGTTTCTTTTCAGATACGTTTTGTACATTCAGTCTCTTAATCCCCAAAGTAAACATGATTAAGTTTTTTTCAAGACAATTGTTTTAAATTCAGTCTCTTAGCTCTCGTAGCGAACAGAATAAGTTTCCTTCCAGACAAATTCTGTACATTCAGTCTCTTAACCACAAAGTGAACATGATTAAGGTGTTTTTTTCAGACAAATCTTTTACATTTAGTCTGTAAACCCCAATAACAAACCGGATAAGTTTCTTCACTGCACAGCATTACTTCAGAAGACAATCACATAATCTTTTTTCCATTAACAATCAAATTAAAACAATTATGGCTAAGACATTATGAAATTTAACCAGCAACCATCAACTAACTTAAAACCTGATGCAAGCAAACATCTGTATGACGGAATGAGAATAGAAAGTATGCAAAGTCCACACTATGTTTAAAGTTCAACAAAATTTTAGGAAAAAAACATAAAACTATATCATGTTTATCAATTATGATAATTAACAACTGAATAATAAGACAAACTGATAAATGTAAGATATCAGAATAAACATTAAAACAATTATTTGAGATTTCTTTTCCATTTTAATATGTTATGAAAAATTATGGACTACAAAATTTTCAATTTTCAACACATCTTTAAAACAAATGAAATCATTTTCAAAAACAAAATCAAAACAAACCACCACGGTGTTCGACACTACATGCAGTAAAAGCATAAAAAAACATGCAAAAGTAGAAAAACACCAACAAAAAACCCAAATGAAGCTCAACAAAGAACGGATAAAACATGTAAAATGAACGAAACAACATTCAAACTCACTAAATATTTCCAACAAAAATAAACAAAATTAAAAATGTACAAAAAAATAAAAAATAAAATAACAACATAGTCGAAAAGGAAGTAAAATAAAAATTGAAAAAAGTGATTTTCACAAAAAAACGAATTCATAAAAGCCTACAAATGAACTGAATTGTGTAGATAAAATACATTCTTTACATCATAGACATAGTATATTTATACCCAGCCTACTATTTAAATATCAATCTAAAGCCTACAGCTATCCTATCTCCACCTCTAACCTGTTACGAAATGCGAATATTCCACCAGCTTTATCCAGTGTAGTACATCTGTAGTTTTTTTTTGATTTTTTGATTTATTTCTCATCAAGACCTGTCAAACAAATACTGCTGGTGTCCAAGCTGAACGCCGTCCAATGACGATTCATACCCAATATGAATGCCGACTGGAAATGGTGAACTCCAGGTTACACAACCATCATCCTCAACACTCCAGGAGTTGCACTAACTTTTGCTCTTTGCACCCCTGGAATATGTCATGACAAAATTGAAGTCTCAGTATGCACCACATTGTGGATGAGATGAGAAGACTACGGGTAGTGTGATCCTTTGATATACATCAAAAGAATAATGATAACATTGTCTGGTTTTAAACTCGGGTGTCACTCCTCTGTTAAGGACAGATATCAGCCTAGCAATTGGTCAGGCGAGACCAATGATATAGCTAGTCATGTGCCTTCAATTTTGCTACGACATATTTCAGGGGTGCAGAGAGTGAAAGTCAGAGCGTAACACCTGTAGTATCAAGGATGTCACAATGCATGCCTTTACTACAATGTCTGATTCTTCTAGGACTTGCAAAATGTGTTTGATGTGAAAAATGACCAGTGGTCAATTAACTGAGACTGGACATTGGTGAAATATTTACATTTACAACACATGGTAGCTCAACACCACAACAAACCACACGACTGATGTCCAGGGCCAGGTAGATGGTTCCACCCTAGGGCAGTTGAAGCAGGTACATAGCAAGGAACCAGTTATCTCCCTTTACAAAACGGCATTCAGGGCTTCACAATGATTTATACAATGTCTGTAAATATTTTGGAAATTTCATAATAATTCAAAAAGTATTTCTGAAATAGCATAAGCTTAAATACAATATTCTAGATTACTTTTCTGCTTGAATAATTACTTTACTGCAGGTTAAAGTTTCGAATGTTTTATACCACCAGTAACAATTATTATCAGCATACTTTATCTTATTGCAGAATATATAGATCGGGTATCGTATACAAAATTTGAAGCTTTGAGCACGTTTTGTTTATTTGAAGGAGAGGAGATGATTGGTTTATTCTATGTGGTACTTTTGGGATGTATTTCCTATATTAAACAATATCGCAAAAATCATCAGCTTCTACATATATGTCCAGTGGTAGGTGACCAAACCCTTGTGAACCCTAGGTCACATCAATGGCCCTTAGGTAGTATCATGTGAACCCTAGGTCACATCAATGGCCCTTAGGTAGTATCATGTGAACCCTAGGTCACATCAATGGCCCTTAGGTAGTATCATGTGAACCCTAGGTCACATCAATGGCCCTTAGGTAGTATCATGTGAACCCTAGGTCACATCAATGGCCCTTAGGTAGTATCATGTGAACCCTAGGTCACATCAATGGCCCTTAGGTAGTATCATGTGAACCCTAGGTCACATCAATGGCCCTTAGGTAGTATCATGTGAACCCTAGGTCACATCAATGGCCCTTAGGTAGTATCATGCGAACCCTAGGCCACATCAATGGCCCTCAGGTAGTATCATGTGAATCCTAGGTCACATCAATGGCCCTTAGGTAGTATCATGTGAATCCTTGGTCACTTCGGTGACTCCAATGTCATGTCAGGGATCCAAAGGTCACCTCAAACGACCCTAGATCACAACCATTAGGTCATGTCAGCAATCCAAAGGTCACCTCAAACAACCCTAGATTACAACCATTAGGTCATGTCAGCAATCCAAAGGTCACCTCAAACGACCCTGGATCACAACCATTAGGTCATGTCAGTGACGAAAAGGTCACCTCAAATGACCCTAGATTACAACCATTAGGTCATGTCAGCAATCCAAAGGTCACCTCAAACGCCCCTAGATTACAACCATTAGGTCATGTCAGCAATACAAAGGTCACCTCAAACGACCCTAGATCACAATCATAAGGTCATGTCAGTGACGAAAAGGTCATTTGATTAAACCGTAGGTCACTACAGTAACCCTTGGTTTATGACTGCGATTCACAAGTCACCTCAGTAAACCATTAGTTGTTTTAATGACCTTGAGGTCATTTCAGTAACCTCAAGGTCAATTTATTGACTTATAAGTCATCGTAGAGACCAAAAGGTCACCTCAACAAACTTGTTCATCTGCTATTTTACCTTGCCATTTCAACCTTGAATTATCAATAAGAAAACAGTATTATTATTATTACCATTATTAGCATCTTAATGAACCATCAACACAAAAGAGGTCATTAGGACCATGAAATGAAAGAAAAAGGCAAAAAGGACAGTTTGGTTGAAATAGCAAAGCAAATATATAATTATTTGATGGAATAATATCTGTGGGAAAGTGGATAACTGTTCAGTATCAAATGTGTATTCTAATGACCACTGGTCATCAGGGGAGATCAAGCCACTGGACATTGGTCAGGTGTAAATTGTATAACAATACAGCATTGCCCGGTACTTACCATGAAGGAACAGTTCCCCTGTGAATACCCAAGACAACAATTTATAGAAACAGAAAATCATCAACATATCTTAGAACTTAAAGTCTGATCTTTTGCTGCTGAGATTCTGGAACATTTCCATTTCCTTGAATGTACTGTAAAAAAAAAATCTACCTGTTATTTCCAAATCTAAACAACATTTTCGTTTTGAAACTTTTCGTTTTGGTAACACATAAAAGCTTCAGCAAATAGGTCAACGATGAGCTGACGGCCACTCAGTAAGTTTTTACATGATTTTACCTTTTCCTGTATTTATTTCAATTCCAGGACAACACCATATATACATATACAAGTACTTTTTTCCATCCTCCCAACTCCCATCAGTCATAGGAAAATTTACCTTTTTTTTCCCCTTTTGAAAATGTACATAGGCACTTGAGTTGTGAAATTAAACAAAGCCTATTTTACTATCCAAAACTTCCACACACATAAACTTGCTGATGTTAAGCTCTGATCTAATACCTTAGTCAGAACATGTTTCTAATGAATTAATTATTATCCACATTCTTTTTAAATACCAACAACTCTTCTAATCTTTAGTGAAAAATGAAATATATATATACCGGTCTATGTTGATATTTTCTTACTGCAGACGGACAAATTACGAACTCGTCATCCATGTTTGTATCTTAACGACAACTGTAGGAATTAAACTTCTCCTAAATCATGACCTTGACAGTAGTTAAGCTACATTTCCAGTTGTTGTTCTCGGAGTTCCTGGTCCATGTAAGACCTACTTTGTGTCAGCCCTGTTAGATGTGACATTTCCTTGGGCCTGTGATGTTGTCCGCTGACATCACTACAGAACCAATGTAGCCTTGTTTTATCACTTCCTGTCCCCCTTCTGCAGTGCACCAATCAGTGTTCCCACTGAATTTTAGATATGTTGGTATATTTGATACATTTTAGAGACCTTGTACCCCTACATTGTAGGTACTTAGTAACCTAGAGAAATTGTTGAAATCTAGCATAATCCTTTACCAGTTCTAGCTCGGTTATATAAAGCCCCTAATTCTAATATGCCACCTCCCTCTCCAGAACACTATACCGATATCTTAAAATTCTTCTACCTCCCTCTCCAGAACACTACCGATTTCTTAAAATTCTTCTACCTCCTTCTCCAGAACACTATACCAATATCTTAAAATTTTTCTTCCTCCCTCTCCAGAACACTACCGATATCTTAAAATTCTTCTACCTCCCTCTCCAGAACATTACCGATATCTTAAAATTCTTCTACCTCCTTCTCCAGAACACTACCGATATCTTAAAATTCTTCAAAACATTACATTTTAATTTTACACAAATAACCAATCCTGAAAATATCCATTTTTGTAACAAATCTGTTGTAGTGCATCAATGTTTTATGATCATACATATGTTATAAATTTTCATAATCTTCAAGTAGAAAAATCCTTATATGGTGAAACAGTTAGAAGAGAGAAGTCTTATGCAATTATAACAAAGTATTGTATTTCTGGTCGTCAGCTAATTAAAGCATCTAAATATTTCCTTTTACAAGTAAAAATTCTTCATGTAATACTTCTTGTAGCATGTTTTGACAGAAGTATCAAATCATCTCCATGCTCAGCAGCACAAACAATTCCACAAAATGGGTTCAACCACATTGGATTTCCTTTTAGTAAATTTAAGAAGTTTAAAATTGGAAAATTTTGATTTGATTGTTATGCAGTTCAAAGAATTAGCAATAGGCGAGATTATACCGACATTCTGACAAGAAATAAATCAGAAATCTTTTCAAAAGGTAGCATTACAACCATCGATCACACAACTCCAAAAGGTACTTAAACTGTATCTGGCAGGTTTCTTAAATATACATCACGAAGGTAAGTAGAAGTACTTTGGACAAAATAAACTGTATAAATAAAAACAGAGAAAGGTACATAACTCTTGTAAACAAGAGGCCCATGGGCCTTAACTGTCACCTGAATTGTAATAAAGTAATTTTTCAATGTTGAAAATGAAGTAGAAATAATTACTTTACTTTGGTATTGGTTATAGCTCAACTGTTTATATTTAAAATCTGTTCTGATGAAAACACATCTAATGTGTTGAAACCAGTCACCGTAACTTTGATTAAGCCAGTAAATCCAGCACGACGTTGTCATGGTCAAGTTTACTTATCTTGGTATTGAATGAGAAATAAGCGTTTTTGTCTTGAATTTGTACATACTTTGTGAATGATTCTGATAATTACTGAAGGTGACCTTTGTATTTCTCAGCAAATCAGCACACTTCACTTGTCAGCTCTTAGGCCCCGATTATGTATACATAGATTTTCTTCTCATGATTTCCCCCTCTTGGTTGATTACATCCAGAATATGTTACAATATATACATATACACAGAGTGTGTGTATTAAATTAATCACACACACACACACACACACACAGACAGACAGAGTGTGTATTATATAGAATTTCTTCAGGGTCTGAAATTAATCACAGATCATTCAGTATATATATGGAATAACATGAACACCTGTCATAAGTAATACAAATATAGATAGATTAAAATTAACCAGCAAAATAAAACCACAGGCCACACTAATTACATTAATGGAAGTTTTCCTTAAATATCTGCACACCTTTTGGCATATAGAGGAGTCCCGAGTCCTGGTGGATGAAACAGACTGCTGAGTACAGTGATATCAGGCTAAATCTTCACCCACGTCACACAGAAAATGGAGAGGAGAAATCAATGTTTGTACCTCTAACCTTTCCTACCAGCTTCTCCATCACCATCAGTGGCCTGCTCAAAACCACGTCTCAGCTGCCCTACTCAACAACTGCCTGCTGTGGGAAGCCAAACTCTCAGATGCTGGGGGGTGACACGATTTATGGCATTCAAGTTTTATGAACAAGTATATATCACCGATACAAGATATATATTGAACACTAAATCTAGCTTGAACACTATACATTAATGTAGTGAATACTGAAATGTGACAGTAAATGATGTAAAAAGTAAGCTTTGACGGTGTAAGATATGACAGTGTAAGATGTGACAGTGTAAGATGTGACAGCGTGAGATGTGACATTATAAGATGTGACAGTGTAAGATATGATGGTGTAATATATGACAGTGTAAGATGTGACAGTGTAAGATGTGACAGTGTAAGATATGACATTGTAAGATGTGACAGTGTAAGATATGACAGTGTAAGATGGGGGAGTATGATGTGACAATGTAAGATATGACTGTCAGATATGACAGTTTAAGATGTGACAGTGTAAGATGGGGAGTATGATGTGACAATGTAAGATGTGAAAGTGTAAGATGTGACAGTATAAGATGTGACAATGTAAGATGTGACAGTGTAAGATATGATGGTGTAAGATATGACAGTGTAAGATGGGGGAGTATGATGTGACAATGTAAGATGCAACAGCGTAAGATATGACAGTGTAAGATATGACAGTGTAAGATGTGACGATGTAAGATGGAGTATGATGTGACAATGTAAGATGTGACATTGTAAGATATGACAGTGTAAGATGTGACAGTGTAAGATGGGGGAGTATGATGTGACAGTGTAAGATGTGACAGTGTAAGATGGGGGAGTATGATGTGACAGTGTAAGATGTGACAGTGTAAGATGTGACAGTGTAAGATGGGGGAGTATGATGTGACAGTGTAAGATGTGACAGTGTAAGATGGGGGAGTATGATGTGACAATGTAAGATGTGACAGTGTAAGATATGACAGTGTAAGATGTGACAGTGTAAGATATGACAGTGTAAGATGAGAAAGTGTAAGATGAGAAAGTATAAGATGGGACCATGAAATATGGGACAGTGTAATTATAAATTGTGACTGTGTTAGTGTGCCGTCCTTGCCAACTTATCATTAAAAGTAATGAGATGTCATCAAATAAATGATGAGCAAACCTATTTTTAGTCCACTTTCTGCTGCCAGCCCGACCTTTGCTCATCATTTTTCGGTAATAAATGTAAAATCAGCTTAAACAATCATCACTGCCAACTATGTTAATACAAACTGTCAATTTTGAGACATTTTATTCGGTTTCAAAATGTTTTACGAGTTGAAAAGTTGTTTAGAAGTTTTATCTGTTTATAGAGTTTCCGACAATAGACTAGGTCGGTAGTAACCGACTCTCCAGATCTGTATAATATTGAACTTAATGCCAGCTGTTTCTGACGTTGACTAGAAAGACTACCTTACTCAACAGTAAAATAGTGGTATGTGTCTATTTCAGTTTCCCCATATAACCCAAAAATAGGAGAGAAAACCAATCATAACACTAAAATCTGTATGTAAAACCTCTAGAGGGTTATAAAACAAGCCGAAACCCACCTATAATTACTAAAATGGTGATGAAGAACCCCCGTTCAATCTAATAACCGCCCCATCCCTGGTAAATCCCACCAATTCTTTTTCTAGTTCAAGGCAGCGTCCCATCCCTTCAATTGGCTATTTTACATTAAAATTTCAAAAATTTGAAATCTTCAAATTTTAAATTTTGACCTTTTAACAAAGATGTACTGTTACCTGTAATTCTGTTACGGCCATTACACTGAAAAAAAACCTCTTTCGGGTTTTTAATTTGCAAGACATGTGAAGATTGTTAAATCAGAGATATATTGCCCACGCAACGTAAGACTGCTTAAATGTATATAAACAATACGAAACTTAGCTTGTTTCTCTTGAATGGAAATTCTTACTCTGGTACAGTACATACTGTGTCTGGTAATGTTTTGACTTGGATGTATATACTCTATGTAACTCCAATTCTTTTCTATCGGAAGTTAGATTTACAGTTGACTTAGGTTCATAAATATATCTATTATCCATACGTGTATATACCAGATCACTAGTTGTACAATAGCTAGGATATCAGGGGGATACTACATTCACTCCTCCGAGCATTCACCTCTAGATGTCACAGTATGTATTAGGTGTAAAGATATTTATAGGGTTAACACACTCTCTGGGTCC